GTGCATAAATTTTCGGAAACTTGATCGGTTGCAAACAGAAAGCATCAACGTGAACAGGTCGTATGTAATCAGATAGCTGTTCTGGGTCATATTGCAATGGAACCAAATTTGAGTCTGGGGAAACTAGCAAGTATTTCAGGAAGTCCTGTATCTAGTTGTCGACAAATCTTAAAAATTCATAAGTATCACCCATACAAAATCAATTTGGTACAAGAAATTAATGAATACGATCGTGATCGCCACTTACAATTCTGTGAAGAAATGTGTACTCGAAAGAATCCAGATTTTTTGTACTCAATTTGTTTTTCCGACGAAATGCGTTCCAACTGGATAGTCGAGTCAACCGAGTGATGCAAATCCACGCATTTTTCATGAAACTCATACGCAGCTTCCGAGGAAATTGAATGTTTGGGCGGGCATACTGGGAGACCACCTCAAAGGGCCATTCTTCGTAATAATAATCGTAATAAAACAAGTTAAAAGTGAAACAAAGAAGTTGCTATTGCAATATCTGGGCAGTCACGACAAACTATACATATTTTAACATGTAATAAATAATGAACAATCTCTAATAATAATTGTAACAATTTTACCTTAGAAAAATATACGCCCCTGAGCATAAAACAGTGAAAGCTAAACATACAAAGAATAATTATCATGAAACATCTATAATCATTACAATCATAAGGTTACATAGAATAATTAACAACAAAGTACTTCAAGAATATTACCTGCTAACTAATACCGGTTAAACACTTAATTTTCCACTACTTCTATATTTTTCACACTACACTGTCCGCCGATCGTCTTACTACCTATCTGCACACTGTTCTCACATCAACTGCCTATCTTCGACTATCTAGGTTTCCTTCCAGAATTCCCTACCTAAGCGCTTGTTTTTTTGTGCTTCCTTCTACCGACCGTTAATATTACTTTTTCTTGTTATACAACACCCATGTAACAGGTGACGTCGAAGTTAATAAGATAAGTACGGTTTTGCACAACACAGATCAATTGAGTGGCCTCCCAGATCGCCATTGAGGACCTTCGTCGGCGAATTGTTGAAGAATGTCGTCAGATAACGCCCGAAATGCTTCGAAATGTTCGTTGGGAAGTAGAGCAAAGATTTTGTTATTGTATGGAAGCGGAGGGAAACCAATCTGAACAGTTAATTAAATAACATTCTTTCATTCATTGATATTTTGTCTTATTCTTTAAGTGAACTCATATTTGATTTGATTTGAGTGATTGTCATATCCACACCAAAATTTAAAAAGTCGTATGTCATCTTGAGCAAAATTGAAAAAGCTTTAAAATGATGTGTCACTGATGCCATTTAAAGTTTAAGTGTATTTTATGCCCCTGCCTAAGGGAGTAGTTTCCAAGACACCAAAACTTATGCCATCACGTGTCCCCGTTGAAAAGAAAATCGACGTGTCTCAGTTTTTTTTGTTTTCTTTTAACTCCGACGTTTTCCAGGTGGGACGTTTAAATGGAACCCCCTGCATATCAAATATGTTTATAATTTTTTAAATTCAAAGATAAGAAAAGTAGTAAATATATTTTGTTAAAAATAAAAATGGAAATTAAATGCACTCTCTTAAAAAAACATAGGTCTTAGACCTTTAATTCATTATTCTTTTTATGCAAAATAATACAACCTATGAAACAAGTTCCTAAAGTTATGACGTAGACTTGCAAGGAAGATTATCAAAGAGATGAAAAAGTTAAGGTGAAATAATTGAAGCACTGAAGATACAACATAAAATTTAAAAAATTCCCACATTTTCTCTAATAATAATTATTATTGTTGACTTGTGCAGTCTTCTGATACATCACTAATATCATGTTTCAATAGATACCCACCTAGATCTTAAAATAAAAAAAGCAAAGTGTTCATTAAGTTCCAATTTCCCTTCTTTTAAAAACAATGAAAATTTGTAAACATATATATTAACGAAACACATGTTTTAACGACTAGCAATTAAGATATAATCTTTCCGCAAAAATTGAATTCAAACCAACGTTATAATCAGGCTTAACTGCAGTGATTATAGTAATTTTACAATGAAGACGACTAGGTATCAGACCTATCCGTAGAAATCATTAATTAGTGTTCCTATAGTGCCCCGTCTTTCTAGACACGGCCTGCAAACACATCTGATGGCGCAGGGCTATGTAAATATTTTTATAGAAAATAATGAAGTTATAATAAGGAATCAAATTCCCCTTACACAAAGATTACAACATAGACCAGGAAAGAAAACATTTTGAAATTTATTAATTACTGGGCGTGATTTTATTGTTGAAAAGTTTTGGAAATGATAATACAAAAGGCGTCTCATCAAATGGGTCATGAAAAAAGTATAGCGTCATTGTTTTTTATCAACAAATAGGTTAAAAATTCGTAATTTTTCGTTCTACGCGTTATTGTAAAAAAACTATTAATCTTAGCAAAAAAGTTCAGAAGACGTTTTTTTACGAGCTTTCAAATTGTGTATATAACTTCTTTCAAAAGTTAAAAACCGCGGAGTTATTTTATTTGTGTGCCTTCCATTTGATAACAATTATACACAACTAAATTTGAAAAAAAAAATAATTTTCTTTTAAATAGAGGATACTTGGTGCCCCTTCGAAGAAAATGAGCCCAAAAAGAATGTTTTAGTCATAACCCTGCCCCCGGAATAGTCATTTGAAAATGGGCCTTTTTTGCAAAAATGGGATAAATAAATGGAATTTTGCAAAAACTATTTGACCGATCGAGCCCATCTTTTGCACATCTCTTAAGGATATAAAAAAACACATTTTGGGAAAGTTTGGTAAGATTTTATTAATTATTTAAAAAGTTATTAACAATTAAAGAAAAAACACTTTCTCCGTTTAATCTTGCAATAACTTTTTTGTTTATAAAACAATTTTAACTTAACTCTCATTTTAAAGATGTTTCTCTAGATCAAATCGTCTGTTGAACTTTTTTGCTAAGATTATTAGTTTTTTACAATAACGCGTAGAACGAAAAATTACGAATTTTTGACCTATTTGTTGATAAAAATCAATGACGCTATACTTTTTTCATGACCCATTTGATGAGATGCCTTTTGTGTTAACATTCCCAAGACTTTCCAACAATAAAATCACGCCCAGTAATTTTTACGAGTTCCTCATGATTTTTCACCTTTATTTCTTGGTCTCACAATCAATTTCAGACTGTATCTTATTATACAGGGTGTTTCTTAAGTGGAGGTAAAAAATCCAGGGGCGTATTATATGGCCAAAATAATTGTTTTTTTGTTATATAAATGTGGGGTCTTAAGACAGCAATTGTCCAGCTACAGCGTGTCAAAAATTTTTAAAAAATCAGTTTTTAATTCTTAATTTCTAAGATTAGATAATTTAACCAAATTACCAGCTTTAGAAACTTACCAGTGGCGGAGGTGTGGATATTATTTGCCAAAAAAATATATGTCCCTGTATAATATTACAAATAAAATAGTTCATCATATGCGCCATTATATTATCTTCACTTTTTGTTTCTTTAATTTTTTTTGTATTTATAATGTTAATCGACTGATTAACAACAAAATTGTTTTATTTGATCACGTGCATTTTTACACAGTCGTCATCTTATTTAAAATTGTATATTGTCAAATTAAGTTTATTTTTTAAAAAGATGAAGCTTAATAATGGCTTATGCATAATCAATAATGCTTAAATGGCCATTATGGTTTACATTTCTGGCCTTGCAGATGGAAATGGTACTGAGGCTAGACGAATTTATATAAAAATATTTCCAAATCATCCAACTCCAAATCCAAGAATACTCAGAAATGTTTTTCAACGTCTTACACCTGGCAATTTTGCACGTGTCCGAGCTACAATTTCAAGAAGATTTGAAGCATGTATTTTTGCTGAAGATGGTCATTTCCAACATTTGTTATAATAAATCATAGTAAAATAATTCCACTATTAATGAATAATTTTGTTATTATTTTAAGTAATGTAATGAGTATCGTAAAATGCACTTGATCAAATAAATCAATTTTGTTGTTAATCGGTTTGGAATACAAAAAAAGTGTAAAGACTGATTAGATAATATGACGTTCACCTCTGTCCTGACAAAAGGTAGATATTAGTTTTTGACACAACAGTGGTTCCAAAACAACAAACATGATCGGAATCTGAAGCAATGTTTTAAGAAATACCTTAGATATTTGCAAAATTATAAGTAGAGAGAAAAGGGACAGTGCCTGTTTTTCTGCACTAAACACTTAACATGGAACTTACCATATAGTATATACGTATAGTACGTAATAATAATAAATAAGTACCAACAAATGTTAACAAAATAATAATTTCTTATAAGGAAAGTGATTGTAGAAAATAATTAACAGTTGCCCTAAGACCGCGGTTAATCGTCTCCGGCATTCGATAAATGACCGAGATCACAGGCACATATCTAAAATAGTCGAAACTTTTAATAGATGCTGTTTTTACTAATAATTGCGAATCGTCAACTACTTCACATTTAAGTAATACCACTATCAGCGTCGTTGTACATGTCTGCCAGATCTGAAGCTTAGCATCGATCAATTTATTCGATACGTTTCTAGCGCCACTTTAATGCCTGTCCTGTCGGCCTGAAGTGACTGTGAACAATCCAGGTTTTTTGCCGAGGGACGTTGGCCGTACAATTCACTGCCGTTTGTGTGTGTGTGAGTGAGCTTTGCTTTGTCGAGTGTATGGCACGTGTTTTTATAGCAGTCAATAGCATTGTGTATCAAGACCATAGAGCGGCACACGGCTTGCCCATAGATTTAACCTATTTCTGCTACTACAACGCGTATTGCCGCTTTCTACCATAATATAGATTACTACTGTTTATTTATTTGATTGTCGCTACAAAGTTTCGTAGGCCTAATTATAAGTAAACTAAATATACTTCATAACAGATATATCAACTCCAGATGCTATCTAAAAAGTAAGCATGGAATCTTGATTACCTCTACAATCGCTACCGTCCTTCTCGAATCCTGGTAAGCAGTCACACAGTGGTTGACCGTCACGCATTCGACACATATGTGTGCATTTCGCCTGGTCCTCTGGTGAACACTCTCCCGAGTTCAGAAAATACTGTGGCGATGCTGCGCTGGGATCATCACCCTGGAGCGTGTCTGCCTCAGACAATAATAAAGAATAATAAGAACGTTGAATTGCTTATCAAAGTTAATATAAATTTAACAACGGTTCGATCACATTTGAATATAAAATGCACTTAAACAAATCGTATAACTGCTAATAAGGTGGAATATTAATCCAATACAGTTTCGTAATTTATAACAGTGCCGTAATTTTATGATAATTTCTTTAACCTTGGCTAGGAATCTGTGACTTGTCCTTGTTGTTCTCGGGCTAGGTTCCATGGAGGCAGACCCACGACCAGGAATCACTACCTTAAACCCACCGTGATATTGATTTCGGTTCTTGTTGTTATGCAGACAGTGATGGTCCTCGGAGTCGTTCCATGGTGACCTATGTAACTGATCAAATCCAATGCTACCAAACGCTTCGACATTGTTCACTGACGGCATCTTCAGTGATGACTCTACAAAATCTCGTCTCAGGCGCCTCGAAACATGATAGCGGGTCCGCCCCCCCCCCACAAAGCCCAGCCCGAGAACAACAAGGGCAGGTAAATTATTCCTAGTTAATTCCAAGAAAGTGCATCATAAATGCAGTATATAACCCAAAATCATAAAAAGCAGTTACTTTAAGCATTTAATTAATTCCTTTACTAGTTGAACCAATATTATTATTTCTGAAATTATTTTTTTTTAAACATAAGTAATAGTTAAATCTTATACAGAGTGATTCTTAAGTAGAGGTCAAAAATCCAGGTGCGTATTCTATGGCCAAAAATAAAAGTTTTTTTGTTATACTTCTTCGATTTGAATTTTGAAAATTTGGGATACCGGGTTTTCGGACATGCCTTTCTCAACAAAAATAATGGCGTCCACGTACCACTTCCGGTTATATCGGAAGTCGCCATCAACTTGCTTATTTTAAATGGAACAGCCTGTATATTATTGCAATTTTGGATTCTACGTGTTATTTTAGGTGGACTTTTATGAAGTTTCCCTAATCCTAAAATTAACCGTTTTCGAGATATTTAATTTTTTTTAAAAAAATGGAGAGAAACAGTCACTAACTTCAAACCATGTGTATTTTATAGTAAGAAAGATAAAGCAACAATATTTATAGGGGGAATAGCTAGATCCCTAAGCTAGTTAACTTCAAACTTTCATAAGTCGTTTTTTTTAATGGAACACCCTGTATGTTTTTCTATATTCTTTTTCGAACGGTATCAGGGTTTCCTATACCTATATATTCTAGTTTTTAAGTTATCTACTATTTTTTGTATAATCACCTAAAATCATGTAATTTCTTGCGAGGATAGCTGTGGAATTTTTAGCAAAACTTCAAAACAAACAACTAAACTGTCAATTTGTTGTTAGTCTCTTGCAGTGACAGTTTAATTTAGTGTTTATAAGAAATGGAAAACAATACATATTCAAATGCTGATATTTTAAATTTATTATTCATTCACGGACGTTGCAATGGGATTATAAGCAGAACATGTACAGTTTTTAATGAGACATATCCAAATTTGCCACCAATGAGCAGAAAAAAGTTAAGAAGAATTTTAGCAAATCAACTAGAGTATGGTCGAATTTGTGCAGAAAGAATTTTACCAAAACCAATAACTTCAAATGAAGATAATGTAATAAATGTGCTAGCCTATTTTAATGTTCATCCAGAATCCTCAACTCGTGCCGCAGAGTATGATTTAGGCATTTCACGAGCGTCCATTCACAGGATGCTAAGAACTAATGATATGCATCCATACAAATTTAAGCTACTTTCTGCTCTTCATCCGGGTGACGCCGTGCAACGTGTACAATTTTGTGAAACGATGTTAGTGCGATACCAAGAAGATCCACAATTTTTGCAACATATTATATGGACAGACGAGTCAAAATTTACGAGAGAAGGTATTTTTAATAGACATAATACTCATTTGTGGTCATCTGAAAATCCTCATGTTATCCGGGAAAGAAACTTTCAAAATAAATTTAGCGTAAATGTTTTTTGTCTAATTAAAGATAACCAAATTTCTTACCATATCTACGAAGAAAATTTAAATGCCGACAGATATCTCAATATTTTGCAAACGGTTGTGGCAGATTTTCTAGATGATATACCTTTAGACCAACTAAGGAAGTGTTGGTATCAATTAGACGGGGCTCCACCTCACTGTCACAATCAAATCGATCAACAGCTGACTGAAATGTTTGAAGATAGATGGATGAGACGCCTAGGACCGTGGAATTGGCCAGTGAGGTCTCCCGACCTCACTCCATTAGATTTTTATGTTTGGGGAGTAATAAAGCAAAAAGTTTATTCTACACCCGTTGCTTCAAAAGAGGATTTGATTGCTCGAATACGAAGAGCGTTCCATGAATTGCCTGCAGCTGAAATAGCAAAAGCGGTGACTGATGGTGTTATCTCTAGAATCCACAAGTGCTTAGCTGTTAATGGGGGTCATATTGAACACTTATGACTTTTTTAAGTCATTTTTTTTTTTTTAGTACATTATTATTATCAACATACATAATTAAAATTGTGTATTACTATGTATGAAGTTGATTTTTTAGAATTCTTCTTAACTTTATTCTGCTCATTGGTGGAAAATTGGGATATGTCTCATTAAAAACTGTAAATGTTCTGCTTAGAATCCCATTGCAACGTCTGTGAATAAATAATAATAAATAACTGGTGACAGTTTAGTTGTTTGTTTTGAAGTTTTGCTAAAAATTCCACAGCTATCCTCGCAAGAAATTACATGATTTTAGGTGATTAAACAAAAAATAGTAGATAACTAAAAAAACTAGAAGACATAGGTATAGGGAACCCTGATACCGTTCGAAAGAGAATAAAGTTGTGTATCAGAATATAGAAAAATATACAGGATGTTCCATTTAAAAAAATCGACTTATGAAGGTTTGAAGTTAACTAAACTCGGCATTAAATTTCTAGCACCCTGTATGCAATTAAGCCACTTTGAAAGTATGGATGGAAAACTTAGGGGTCTAGCTATCCCCCCTATAAATATTGTTGCTTTATCTTTATAACTATAAAATACACATGGTTTGAAGCTAGTCACTGTTTCTCTCCATTTTTTTTTTGTAAATTAAATATCTCAAAAACGGTTAATTTTAGGAATAGGGAAACTTCATAAAAGTACACCTAAAATAACACGTAGTATCCAAAATTGCAATAATATATAGGGTGTTTCATTTAAAACAAGCAAGTGGATGGCGACTTCCGGTATAACCGGAAGTGGTACGTGGACACTATTATTTTAGTTGAAAAGGGTATGCCCGAAAACCCGGTATCCCAAATTTTCAAAATTCAAATCGAAGTAGTCTCTGAAATAATTCTAATGGGCCGTCACCGTGACGGGCCGTGTGCCCTGTATAAATGTGGGGTCTGAGTTCAACCATTGTCCAGCTACAACGTGTCCAAAATAAAAACAAATATCAGTTTTTAATTTTTAATTTCTAAACCGCTTGAGATAATTAAACCTAATTCGGTGTGCATATTTAATACGACGGTAGGTATGAAACAAAAAATTAGCAGCTTTAGAAACTTACCAGTGGTGGAAGTGTGGTGATAATAATTTGTCAAAATAAAAATATATCACCCTGTATTACAAATAAAATAGGTCGTCAGATCCGCCATTGTATTACCTTCAATTTTTGTTTCTTTACACTTTTTTCTATACCAAACCGATTTTATTTGTACTATTATACAGGGTGATATATTTTTTTGACAAATAATGATTAAAACCCACATTTAATTTTGGACACGTAGCTGGTCAATGGCTGTCCTAAGATCCCACATTTATATAACAAAAAACTCTTATTTTTGGCCACATAATACGCCCCTCCATTTTTAACCGCTACTGAAGAAACACTCTGTATATTTATTACTAATAGTTCTTTTTATTTAATTTCTACAATTCTTTTATTAATTTTTCGCTTTATTAAAATTCCCAATTAAACAAGTTTTACAGTCCGTACGATATTTATCGAGATAGAATTCCAAGATGACTCCTGTGTCACTTTCTTGGAATTAACCGCATTCGACACACAGTAACAGCTTGCAGTGCATACTGTGTTTTGCAATTACGAAGGTGTGTTTCTTCCTCTTCTTCCTTGGAATTCTATCTCAACAAATATTGTATGGGCTGTAGATTAAATAAGATAATTACCAAAATCATTTTTAATTTTGTCACAAACTGGTTTCTTCCCAACCCATTTCTTTTTGCTGCAAAACATTTTCTTAGGATGGGAATTTCTAAATTTGTAACCTTCGTTACACTTAAATTCCGCCACCATGTAACGCTTTGACTTGGGCTTTCCAGCATCGATCCTGGTCTTCTTGAACCTGACGAACTTGCCATTATTTATATCCGGAGGTGGACTATTCCTGCAAGAGGAATCCAACTTTCCCAGTAGATGCTTAGACAAGTTCTTGTAGTTTGTCTTTTGGGCAAATCCATAACCGTTTACTGAAAAGTTAATATGTTTTAATTACCGAGCTTGTGTGGTGCTAACGAGGTGGGCAAATCAAATGTAAATCAAATTTCTTTCTTGACATTTTTCAAATATCTTCTATAGTATTATAGTCTACTTCCTATTTTAAAAGCGATTCAAAAAATTTTGCCAACCAGGATACCAGAGAAATGGGGCGGTAGTTTTTAATGAACCTTTTTTATAGACTGGTATAATCTTTGCCAATTTAAGAACTCTTGAAACGTAATAATGCACATTTTTATTAAATTCGTTAATAGTAAATAATTAAGTTCTGTAGAGTTGTGACAATTTTGATATTTAAAGCAAATGGATCATTACTTTTACTATTCCTGATCGAACATCATTGAAGGTAGTTTCATGAAAGGTGAATGTGACATTACATTGATATTAATAAAATCAGTTATCTGTCAGAGGAACATTGTTTTAAATTTTGTTTGCTATTTTAGAAAAGTGTATACTTATCTTCAGCATTCAAAGTTTTGGTAGGAGTAGTATTAGTCTTCTTACTGTTTGCATTATAACTGTTTATAATATTCCATACAGCTCCCTGTTTATTGCAAGATTTACTAATGAATTGGTCAATAGCTTGACTTTTCGCATTGACTTGTCTTTTAGGAATCAGATTAGTACCTATCGAGTTTGTGAAGATCATTTAATAGGAATAGTTTCTCACGCATTGATTTAAGATCTTTATTAAACCATTGCAGTTGAATTGCAGAACTTGTAAAGACTCTAAAAATTGGTAAATTTTTATCTATAGCGACAGCGATTTATACCTTATTGGCTTAAATTTCATCCAACTGGGATATTTGAATAAACGTGATATTATTCTTAAACTTCAACAGCCTATACTCGAAAATTAGTGGCTTTATACCCTTGATTAATTAAGCAGTTTTTATCTAAAATAACTAACTCCTTGAGATTGTATCAGGTATTCACGCAAGATTTGAATTTTGCGCCACTTGTACGGTAAAGTGTTGCCAACGGAAAAAAAGACAGCGTGAGAGCTGATAAGGTCTACTGACAGCTAACACTTCAGGGTTATAAAAATGGAGGGCTATAAGAAAGAACAACGCGTTTTCATTGTTGAGCAATATTTTTTAAAAAATGAAGGTTTGGCAGTTACAGTTCGCAATTTTCGTACAAAATATGATCGGAATAATGATTTTTACTTCATCAACTGTTAAGAGATTAATTGAAAAATCCAGGGAGACTGAATCAATCAGTTTGCAAGAGTTCCGAGGCCTGTTTTTTGTAAGCACTTTGGTGGGCCATTACTGTGAAAAAGTAAAATATCTCCCTTGTTACTCATATACAGAAAAAAGTTTATGTAAAAGTTATACAGAATTAAGAAACCTAAAGTACAAAATTAATTTGATACATACAGGGTGATGAGTAAAATCGGGACACGCCAAATAAATATAAAATAAAAAATATATGGGGTGTTCCATTTAGAAAATGTAATATTTGGCGTGTCCCGTTTTTACTCATCGCCCTGTGTGTTTCAAATTAATTTTGTTCTATTGGTTTTTTGATTCTGTACAACTTTTATATAAGCTTTTTTCTGTAGTATTATGAATAACAAGAGAGTTATTTTACTTTATCACACTAATGACCCACCCTGTATAAATATACCATCCTAGATTTAAGAATTTTTTTGCGTCAACTTTTCATTCATTAAGGAACTTTTCACTTTGTTGGCTGCTTTCTGTTTTCAAAATTAATATTCAAAAAACAGTTGGTAATTTGCACAGTGAAAATGATTAGCTGAAGCTTCTTAAAATGCATTTATATAAAATACATTTTTTTATAAAACAGAACTATTCTTCGCTTTTCTACATTTGTAAAATGAAAATTGAAAAGTGAAAAGTTGAAAAGTACTTTCAAAAAATAGGCCCAAGAACTTAATTCGGCATCGTGGCGAAGAACTGGACATTTCGAGAATCTCTCTACAGCGTATTCTCACAAAAGATTTGCATGTTCATGCTTACGAAAAAAGTTAGTTGAATGGATTATCTTCAGCGATGAGGTTCATTTTCATCTGAAGAGATTCTTAAACACTCTGGCCCTCCTGCAACACAAAACATCAAAGCAGTTCGTGAGAGTATTGCCGAGAGCCCAGAGACATCAACTCGGTACCGTGGTCAAGAATTGAACATTTCAGCAGCGTATTCTCATGAAAGTTTTGCATCTCATACTTCATCAACTGACTCACGAACTGAAGCCTACTGACCACGCAAAACGAAGAGCGTTTGTTGAATGGATTATGGAACAAGTAGATGCTGATTTTTTAACAAAATCATCTTCCGTGATTAGGCTCATTTTGATGGATTCGTTAATCGACAATATTGTCGCATTTAGGGTTCAGAAAATCTACGAGTTGAGCAACAAATACATCCGCACCGTATCACGGTGAGGAATTTGGGCTGGATTTTCGAAAATGCGGCTAGTCAGGCAATAACAGTTGCTCACTTTTGCAATGTGATATTCTAGATTTTTCTGCCTAAGCCGTAAATTACAAGATATTGATGTAGACGACATGTGGTTTCAACAAGATGGTGCCACATGCCGTATATCCCGAGAAACAATTCAATTACTGCATGAGTCATTTCCTGGTCGTGTAATGTCCGTTTTGGTGATCAGAAATGCCGTTGGACTTTTTTTTTGGTTTTTTTAAGTCGAAAGTTTGTACCAAAAAGCCCATGATCAGCCACGCCTTAAAGGCGAAAACTGAATGTTGTAACGAAATTCAGCGGCGTTTATGCAAAACGGTCATGGAAAATTTCGACAAAAAAGTGCGTATGTGTCAGCAAAACCGATAAGCTATTCCAGACTTAACACTAAACTGTATACTTTATGAATCAATAAAAAAATTACAATTTTTAATTAAAAACCTGTGTTTTCTATCACAATTACTTCTTGTGTGAGTTTTGGAATACCCTTTATAGGTCATTTAAAGCGGAGAACAATATTCAACAGAATTCATATCCTTGAAATTTCATGTAAGCCAGAAACCCTGACAAATTTTTCACTTTTACAGCAACGTAACATTGATCAATCGACGCCAACTCTTGCTAAATGTGGCAGAAATAAACACTGTTTACAATTTTTCTCGCTGTGATGACACTAATCTGGATACATCGCGATTGAAACGTGCCAATTACACTTTCTATGTGCAGTAATTCCGATTATTAATTTACAAATTATTATTTACTGGTCTTGAATTTGTAAAACGGATGTTCGGGAAGTTGTGAAGAAATTGTAGAATTTCTATTTGGAATTTGAGCGTAATTCTATGTTCGGTAAATTATCGTGAACCTGTTCTCATTCCACAATGCAAACACGCAAATCCAAATAGGATAGTACCTACGTAAAAAATATCTGTCGATTAATCACTCTGTATGTTATTCATGCAAATGGCAAAAACACTTAAACGATTGCGTTTCCAAATTTTAGTGGGCTTGACACAATTTTCCTATAGAAATAATGGGAAAAGTTGGGCAACTAAAGGTGGCAGCCGTTAAAATTTCGGAAGTGTAATATAAGTATCTAACAGTTCGAACCTACGTACAAATTGATGGTAGTTTTATTATATTGTTTTGGGATTACTTATACGGTATTGTCCAATAAAAGAAGCACCGGAAGACATAAACACCAACTGTTTATATATATAACACACTGAATACTCCTACGAAACGTCGAGAACATATGTATTTTGGGTGCAATTTACTGTCTGATATATTGAAGAAGCGACGAAGGCGATTAGAATTTACAAGGTGGGTTCCATAGTAAACAGAACTTTTTAAAAATAATGAAAACAAAAAAGTTTTTTTGATCAACAAAACGCTGTCGCACGGGGCCAAATCAGGCGAATACCGGGAGTGGTTGACAATTAATATGCGATTTTTAGTTAAAAAATCGGTCGCCAGTGTCGATCGATGAGTTGGCGCATTATCGTACAACTAACGCCAACTTCCTTCTACGCGATGTTTTCGCCGAATACGAATCACCAAACGCTTCAAAACGCCAACACAGAATTGTGCGTTAATGGTTTTGCCCGGTGGACAGTGTCCTTTCAATGGTAAAAGCAAATTAACATTGTCTTTATTTTTGTTTTGGGTTTTGGCACTTTGGCGCTTGGTTTCAGGATCATATTGAAAACACTAGTTTTCATCACCAGTCACAATGTTGTAAAGGAAGTTTTTGTCCTTTTTAGCCTCATTGATGATATCCTTCGGATGTTGAATTCTGAGCAATTTTGGTTGTCTGTCAACTTGTGCGGAACAAACCGTGGACACACTTTTCATTCAATTTTCAGTAAAACGATACACTTTACCGATTTTCAACAATGTAACAAAAGCCGGGACGCGTAGTCATTTATTTATTAGTTCTCGAAACGGATGGGCCAAAAAGTAAAATATTTCAGTCAACATAAAGTATCGAAAGTTAAGAGTTTCAAGTAGGTAGCGTCGTCCTTCGGAGAAATTTAGCAATATTTTTAACAAGTTCACTTAGAGTCGGGGCCATGTGACAGTCATCTGTTGCGTCTGGGGGGCGCCAGCGTAGAAACCCATATTTTTAATAACGCGCGAAATCACGAGAATAGCCTAGAGGTTCCAAAGTAAAATTAAATCAAATTGTTAAATTGATAGTAATTGGAAATGAAAGGAACAGATCAAGTAGCTGTTTTTTTGACGGATTTTCTAAGCTATAAGAGTAGATTAAATGAGATCGACTAATCCGTCCCGTATTTGCTACACGGAGTCGCTAGAGGAAGGCTAAGGTTAGTTGTAAGTCACATAATTATTTATATAAATGTAAATTCAGTCCATTAGACAATTATTATTAACATGGCGTAGTTATGCCAAAGCATCCCGACATTCAGGGTTCCCGCCCATAAGATGAGAACAGAAACTTCTGGACCCAAGAAATGGACGTGTCGAAGCGAAGTGTCGAATTCGGGAAAGATCTCGAA